GTTATAGTAATTTTTTCATTTCAGTTAACAGTGTTAATTGACAAGGGGTGACAGTGTGATTTCATAGAATAAGGGAGGTGTCGTTGTGATTTCAAAGAAATTCGGTAGGTGCTAGTGTAATTTACCCTTTGGTCAGCGTTAATAGAGTGGGCTGTCATAGATGTCGACTGCGGTTTATGATGGTGCGACCATGTCTTATTCCACACCCCCCACCCCAACAAATCATTCTTTCTTATAGAACATTCCAAAATAATCCAAATTCCTAAATTTCATTCACAAAGGAATCCTGAAAATGAGATTCCTATTCTTTTCCTCTTATTCTTATCATCCGATCTGAACATAGTCTCAAGACTGTCAGTTTCTCATCAACACCGAGTTCTGTATCCCAAAAACCCAAACATCTATACTATTATTAAGTGAAGGCCTCAGTTGAAGTGGTGAAGCCTTTGCTCTCCTCATGTCACGTGGCAGTGTTTTTTATTTTTTTTAAAAAAAAGTTACACAGAAATGGGCAATGCATGAAACCATGACCATAGGTTTAAGGTACGAGGAGTCATACCACCTAAGCTAAGTAGACAATAGAGTATTAATTTCCTTATTATTTTCCTTTATTCTTACTTATTTAAATTGCACACGCATCACGTGTGCGACTCGTTAGTTCTTAGAAAGACCTAGACAGGATTTCTTAAATGTTGATATTATTTGCCATTAATGATAATCGATCCATTTTGACATTTTTCAAATTAGGTTTCTTCCAGTAACTAGCAACAATACTTTTAGGCCATGTTTGATTAGGCAAATATGGTCGTAGGATTGGATAAATAATCCAACAAAATGCATAATCCCACGTTTAGAAAATAAAATTGAAATACAAACTAATAATCCACTCAAACATGATATGCTCCATATCAGGGACCGATGAATTGCAAGCAGAGAGTGGGATGCAAAGGGTATAAACACAATATGTCCACCATACTGAAAATATCAATATCCAGTCTCACATTTCGTTTTAAGTATTTATTGAAGACAAATGAAGAACAAAAGTGATATACCAACAGATTACATAAAAATCACATTACTCTTGTGCCTAAATAAAAGTATACTGGGAAACACCAAAATGTCCCTATGTATGCAATTCGTAAAGGAATTCACAACCTTTTACTTGCACAACCAATTCCAAAATTTGACTTGTTCTATGCTAGCACAAACGGACTAAACTAAACATGGAAATTCAAAATGCCAATTGATAAACTAAAATGGATTGACATCTCAGTCCTGAGATCATAACCACAAAAGATAAAGGAAGTTGCAAAACAAACTTCTGAACTAAAGCTTCACTCTCAGATGAATTAAAATATTCAGTTAGAATGGACAACCCTTTCTCACAATTTAAATGAAGTATATCTCCCAAATATCATCTAATGAAAGGATATGATTGACAAAGATGAGGAAATTATCAACTGCAAGTATGCTAAATTACAACATCAAATGAAATATTCACATACTTGCCATTCTGCCATGCACAACAAACCCTCGAGACCCAAAATATAACCTTTTCAGCCCTCTTCTAGAATTTCACCCAATAATACGAACACACTAAGCAAAATAAATAAATAAAAAAATCTCAAAGGTTGGAGAAACCAACAAAACTTACATAATTTAAGTTTAATTGGAATTTGGAATACAATACAAAGTAATGATTCCATACTCTAAATTCTAATTACCACTACCATGCAATGATATATATATATATATATATATATATAATCACACAAGTACTAGGAAAACTGTTATAGGTAATATTCTATTTACTAAAGTATCATCTCAATCATAAGTAGATGACAAGTCATCTTTATTATCTATCAAGGAAATATGATGGCTTTTTGACATAGTGACCTGTCTCCATCTGATTATATTTCATTCACATTGTCCTCATTTTTTACCTTTCCCTTTCCAAATCTCTATCAAAATGCATGATCCAAACTCCGGCTAAATATTTGGGGAAACCATATTGGAACCCCAAGAAAATACATGGGCAAAACCTCTTGAAATTCTTTTAAAAGAAAGTGTAATTCATTTACAACATGAAATATTTTTCTAGAATTTAAGAAACAAGCACCCAGCATTTTGTTGCTTTTGGATATAATAATTGACTCCATGCTTAGTATACTTTTCACAAAAAAACTCTTTACTGTAACAATTTAATGTAACACATAAAAACTCCGTAGTGTATTTTTCCCAAACGTAACACTCTAGTCAATGTAATCTCAAATGTAACACTTCAATATAACATACTCCAACGTAACACACATAAAAACACTAAAAAATTCATTAGTGTACTTTTTCCAAACGTAACACTCATAGTTTAAAATTATACATTTGTCCAAAACTTACTAAGAAATTTTTTTACTCATTTTGGAATGGTTTGAAGAATCCCACATCATTTTTTTAGTGTGTTACATTAAAGTATTACGTTTGGGAAAAGTACATTAAGGAGTTTTTTTGTGTGTTTCATTAGAGTGTTACATTGGAGCTTTTTGGAGTGTTACATTTGGAAAAAAATACACTAAGGAATTTTGTGTGTGTTGCTTTAGAGTGTTACACTAAGGAGTTTTTTTTTTCTTTGCAGTATTACATTGGAGTGTTGCGTTTGGGAAAATAAACTAAGAAGTTTTTTTGTGTGTTATATGAGATTGTTACACTAAAGAGTTTTTTTTGGAATGTTATATTAGAGTATTACATTTGGGAAAGGTACATTAAGGAGTTTTTTTTGTGTGTTACATTAGAGTGTTACACTAAGGAATTTTTTTATGTGTTACACTAAGAAGTTTTTTTTGGAGTGTTACAGTGTTACAGTATTACATTTGAGAAAAGTACACTAAGGATTGTTTTTGGAGTGTTACGTCTGAGTATTATATTAGAGTGTTGCAGTTTGAAATTATACATTTGTCCAAAACTTACTATGGAGTTTTTGTACTCCTATTGAAATGTTTGAAGAATCCCATCATTTTGGAATGTTTGAAGAATCCCATATTTTAACTCATTTTTGTGCTCCTTTTGACATGTTTTCCAAATAAAAAAAAAAATCTCATATAAAAATTCATCCTAAATTTGATTCTCATAAATTGTGTAACTTACTTTTTTTGCACCCAAAAAAAAAAGGAAACATAATAGAAATAAGGGTATAATCGTAAATTCAATTTTCAAATAATATATTAAATCTACCTTTTCAAAATCAATGGAACTAATTGGTCTATCAAAAAATCCTTAGAATTAAATGGATCACCATTCCTCAATATGAGATTTATAAGTAATTTTTCCAAAAATAAAAAGATAAAAAAACATATTCTCGAAAATGTTTTTTTTTCCAAACAAACGTAGGGTTTCATTGAAGCAAAAATGAAAAATGTGGGTTAGAGAATTGATGAAATTTAAATAGCAAGAACTGAAGTGAAATCTCGCTAAATTATAGGAACCAATGAAGAATCTAAAATCTCTAAAATATTGATTTGTGATTATGTTTCAAAATTAAATAATGAATAACAATTACAATCAACCAATCAATAACAAAACGACACAATGATTTAACGTGAAAAAAATCACAATTAGATCGCCTCCAATTGTGATTAAAAAAAAATCACGGGTCAAAGCCACAAAACAATTCACTGAGAAAACAATAACAGGAATTACACAAGAGTACTCTCAATTATCTAGCAAATCCATGCTCGAATTGAACCAAACCCAATGTGCCTCTTCCACTACCATCTTCACCATGGAATTGCTTTGCTCAACGTTGAATCTACAACGCCGATGTCGAATCCACAACGATGAGCCACTCCAAAATCCACCAAAGTTTCAGGCCCAAGTTCTCCGAAATCTACCAAAGAACACCTCTCTCTTTTGTGAACGTAACGGTAAAAACAACCCCTTGATGAAGTTAATGTAAAGGTCGTAGATTCATTGATCACTCTCAAATCATCAAGGAAACACTTATAAAACACCCTCCAATATACCACACTTTCATTTTTCTTTCTCACTAAAAATTTGGATGGATGAAACCTTAAAAATAGCAAACGGCACACTTTATAGAAAATAGGATCAGGAAGACCGCTCGAGTGCACACTTCACCACTCGAGCGATGTGAGTAAAGGCAAAGCAAAACATATAAGCCGATCGCTTAAGCGCACATCTTTTCCAGAAGTTTAATTTGTAGGCACAGGTATTGGCAAACACGAAAGCCTCAAGGTCACAAACTCTTCTACATAGGCATAATGCGGGTTGGATTCGCATCTAAACACTCACTTCCTCACTGAAATAAAAGAATGAATAAAATTACAATTGAAAGGAGTTTTTTTCAAACGAGATTGCCATTTACAAAAATCTAACAACTGATAATATGATTTATAATATGTAGATTTGAGTTGAAGCAAACATAGAGGATCCATGAGAAATTAAGAAAAAAAATTAGAAAAGGAAAATAATATACAAGTCTACTTTTTAGACCCATTTTATAAACCTAATGATGTGTAAGTGGTATGATTGGTTGATAATTAGAGAAGATATGAGAGAAAGTGTTATGTTTAATATCCTAATTGATTGCCACATCACTGGACATAAAAATTAGGTCTAATTTTTTATTTTGAATAATAATGCTCATTAGAAAAATAGTCAACTTGAATTAAGGGTTATAATTGTAACAAGTAGGAAGCACTAGTTAAAAACATGAATAGAAGCCAGAACAGCATCAAATCTATGCTTTTAAACACCAGGCTCATTCATAATGTTATTTAGCCATCCCGAATACATTTTTAGGATACACCTATAAAAGGCGAATAACACTTGTACCAAATAAGGAAAAACAATTGACAAAACAACAAAATTAATTGACACTACATTTTTTGGGGTGAATGCAGCAATAGAAATATCGTAAGTTAATAAAATTGCACCTATTGATGCACATAGTTCTAGCTACACGGGGAATCCTGTTGTGAGAAGTAGCATTATGTAAAGCACGACAAAGAATCCCATTCCATTGTATTAAACATTAGGAAAAAGCCATACAGAAATGAACTGTGCGACTGCATGATTGCCTGCCTAGTAATGTGAGCTTTTGAAGCAGAACCACCACCACTAGAATTGTTATCTTGCCATGCACCACTTGGAGGACTTCGTACAGCCTGAAAGGTTGATGTCACGATAAGTGTAGCTATCCCGAGCAAGCAATTCTTTACATCACCTAGTTTGTTTCTTTCCTTATTGTACATGAAGTAATTCAAAAATGCAATACTTGAAATTTCATTGTTAGTTGTTGTGAGTGTCGTGGCAACCATATTTTCATTAACCATTGCAGTTGTGGTTGCTATTGCTAGTGTTGATGTTGAAGGATTTAATTCTATAGCTCTCATGGCTCTTGCTTGCTTAAGGATCTCCTCAATTTTCCCATCGCCTGCTTCACTTTGAAAGCATAGTATTTGATAATGCAGTTTAGTCGAGGTTGGGCTGGGTCAGACTGATCCAGGTGCTCCACGAGCCATCTCTACTTCGTTTTCCTAGATTCATCTATAACAAGCCCAATAGGAAGGTTCTGAATGGGGTGGTTCCTTCCACTAGACCCTCTGGCGAGCAAGTTAGGTGGTATCAAATAACAGTCTAAGGAGAGAAAGAGGTTTCTTCTTACCAACAACGTAAATTAGAGGCTTTCATATATTGTTAATCAATCATTTCGTTGTCCATTCATGTTGTTCCATTGGCTGAAAGCCTGTCATTTGCTTACTGTCAGCCATGGTGGTTTTCCCATGTCTCAGAGCAAGAGGTCCTATTGCATTTAATGCTTTTACAGTCTCATTTAATGCTTGGCACGTGGGCTCAATAACTCTCTAAAATCCTTGTCTGCCATGTGGCCAACTCCCTACCTAACACAGTGCTAGCTGGTGCCTGGGCCTGATCATTATGGGTTCTCTACTGGGCTTAGTGTTGGGCTTGTCTTGCTGGGCTTTAGGTGACTGACTATTTGGGTAACCCAAGACAGTCCCCTATGGGTCATGCCCATCAGTAGTCCCCCATTTTTGAGCGCAACTTTAGTCCAGTGAAGAGAATAATAAGGGTGAAAGTAGTCCTCGAAGTTGCACGATAAGGGGGCCGTCCAGGCAAGTCGGTAGAGCAAAGACATCTGATTGGGAAGTGGTTAACGGGTGAGATGGCTGACCAAGGATCTCTAATCGGCGAGGTGGTCGATCGTCAAGATGACCGACTGAGGGTGCCAGATCGGCGAGGTGGCCCACCGTCAAGATGACCGACCGAGGGTGCCCGACCAGCGAGGTGGCCAACCGAGTGAAAACGCCGACCGAGCGGCGAAGGGTTAAATGTGTCGGTAGGGTGATGGGTTGAGGAGAAGGAACGCATGTGACGAGAGGCTGACAATGAAACAACCTCATCCTTCTACATGGAGCAATCAAGGCCGCTAACATTAATTTGGAATGATTTTGGAGGCAAAACGTGATGATAATGCATGAATTTGGAAAGGTAAGGGGCATTAATTTGCAATGGCGCGTGAATACGAAAGGGCTAATGTATGAATTCGTGTATTTCTCACTTTTTCTATCGACTTTTTGGCAAAGTTTCAAACTGGTGATTTTGAACCTCGATCCTTGGAATATAGAGAAACCGTGGGCTTTTTCATTTGTGCATTTCACGTATCTGGTTATGAAAAACCAATGCATTCTAGATTTGAGCTCTTTTGTATCGTGGGATTCGCCTATCTTTAACATTTTGGACTTTTTGGCGCGCGCAACCAAAGCAATCACCAGAAACTTGAGAAAGATGCCCCGAGAGAAAACTCTAGTCCTAAGGACTGGCGCATTGGGGGACGACGCTGCGGTTGCTCTGGTGGAGAAATATAGGGTAGAGAAGATGGTGGAGAAAGGCTGCGGAAGGCCTTCTCGCCTGATACCATCAACAATGATCTCAGTCGCGCAACCGATTAGCCAAGTGGCCCCTGACCATTGGCATACGAAGGCTGACAAGTCAACGTTGACATCGGAGGAACTGGAAAGAATCCAAAGCAAATATCAGATCCATGAGAATGTGGAGTTGAGGGCTCTGACGGCAGGAAAAAGGCGTTGAATTCTAGACCCATAGAATTCACCCTCTATGAAGAGGCATTGTTTGAGGGGTTGAGGTTACTGCTCCCCCAACTGGTTATGGACGTGCTGAACTGGCTGCAGGTGGTGCCGGGTCACTAGTGACCGGAGGTGAACGCATGATGGTCGATGCATTCTTCTCATGTTACAAGGCGTCGGGCCAACAGGAAACCTTGGTATTACTGCAAGCGGTGACAGGCAGAGGATTGGTGGCTGGGCTCCCTTCCTCCATTGAGGGGTGGAGAACGAAGTGGTTTGTCATTTCAGAGAATGGTGGAAGAGGGGCGAGAACGATCTGGAAGATTCCTACCAAGCCAATAGAGCCGAAGTTAGGCACAGCAGAGGAGAAGGAAGTGAAGCACGTGAAGTAATGGCGTGGGAAAGAGGGGCTCAAATGGGATGATATGGTTGAGCCCTCTGCGTTCTTCGCTGTCGATTTAGGCCCTAACCAGGCAGGGGGGACCCCATCCTAGAGGAGGTTGAGGTGAGGAGGAAGGCCCAAGAGATTGATGACCGCCCAGCGTTCGCCACGGCAAAGAAATTGAAGGAGCAGGAGCTGCGCCCAACCCCCAAGCCACACATTCACGTGGTCACTCGCCAATGACCCAAAGTGTTGGGGGAGCGAGACTTAGAAACTGTTGTGCGACTGAAGACACGAGTTGATTTGATTAAGAAGAGGAGCAGAACTGAGACAAAACAAGTGAAGAAGAAAAAGAGAAGTGCTGCCAAGGGCAGAGAGGGGGAAGTAAAGGCAAAGAGGGTCAAATAGAGCATGTTTGACCCAAGAGCCAAGCGAACAGAGGAGGTGGAGATGGTGCAGGCAAGACTAGGAATGGTCGTTGAGGAGGATGAGGCCGACCCCTTTATTGTAGAGTTGTTGACTAAGATGAGATGAAGGAAGGAAAAGTAGAGGAGCAAATAACTGGCCTGCCTACGGTAAAGGAAACAAGTGATGTAGAGCACAGGGTAGGAAAGGAGCGTCCAACCCTAGTGGGTACAAGTACAATGTAGGAGAGTTCTACTTTCGGTATAGTGAGCACCGCCGCTCACTATCTAAGTGCAATGGTTAGGCACTTACTACCTGAAGCGAGCGAGCCAACCAGTATCCTTCGCGATGCTAGAGCCGTTACCGAATGCTAGTTGGACACCATATATGAAGTGGCCATCAGGGACGTCTCTCGATTTAGGGAAGCCGACCTTATGAGAGCATTCTGCTCGGCCCAAATGCAGTCACTAACCTTGGCGGCCTCTCTGCTAGGTAAATGAATGATGACGAAGATGGAGACTGAGCCGTTGAAGGCCCAGTTAGAGAAGGCGAGCGCTGAGCTAGGAGTGGCCAGAATGGAGAGTGTTAAGTGCGAAAGGCAGCCCGAAGTGCCTGTGCCAAAGGACTAGTGACTGAGTGACATTTAAAAGGGATGGAAGTGTTAGCCTTGGTGCAGGGCCACGTAGCCGACCAAGTGAAGAGAGATTAGTCAGAAGTAGTGGTTAAACTAGCGAGTGTGAAGGCTCAGTTAGGCTAGGTAAAGCGCGAACTGGAGGGCGCTCACCAAAGAGTGGGGTTGTTGGAGTCTGAAAGGGCCAGTGAGCAAAAGAAAGTGTTGGATGGCCAGCAGGCCTATTACCTAGCTAACGAAAGGCTGGAAGAGGCTCTGTCCAACAATGAAGAGCTAAGTGAGTCATCTATAAAAGAGAAGGAAAAGGCTGGCGTGCAAGTTGCTGAGTTGGAGAGGGCACTCGGCGCAAAGACGAAGGGTCTTAAAGAGGAGAAAAGCAAGGCTGTAGAGCTGGCCAAGGCGATAGCGTCAGAAAGAGCAGCTTACCCCGACCTTTATGCCGCAGCAGTAGAGCAATTCAAGCAGTCTACCAAATTCCAAATAGCAATAGACGCTGTTGTGGCCTCTAGCTTAGCCAGAGAGGGAGGGTATGAGGCTAGTCTATCAGGTTCATATTCAGTTGATCTGGTGGAAGGGTAGACAAAAGAGGAGATAATCCAAAATTTCCAATAATCCGACTATTACAAACACTACATGAGCGAGTACGGAGATGACGGCTGGGTGATGTTTAAGGAAAGAGCGTAGGCAACCTTCCCAGACATTGACTTTAGCGTGGTGAATCCATGAGATAAGGACATTGTCAGCACGCCTTAGGATGAAGGGGTTAAAGAAGAAGACCTCATCTCCAGCGAGGAAAAAGAAGGTTGAAGACACTTGGTTATTTTGTGTTTTTTTTTTTTTTTTTTTTTGAACTATCCATGTAAAGACTTACACATTTTGTAATGAAGTTCTGTATAATAGAAGAATTGGTTTTGGAAATTGTTAAGTTATAACAGTTTGTTTAGTGTGTCTGCCCCCGTAAAAAATGAGTTTTAAATAAAGAATTACGTGAAATGAAAAAGGAAATGGGTTTTGAAAAATAGAACGTGTAGAATATAGGGGTTCAAAATTGAAAGTAAAATGAACCAAGGCCCCAAGTAAAACTTAAAAGTGAATCAATAAATCACATTACTTCATAAAAACTGGACTCGTGCAAAAAGTAAGGGCGTAATTTATGAAATCGATCAACTAGTACTACGTGTTAAACACAGTCTGGAGGAGGCTGTATCAAACTCAGGCTGAGGTCTTCATGCTCAGTCTAGCTGAGGCTTGATTGCACTTAGTCTGGCTGAGGTCTTCATGCTCAGTCTGGCTGAGGCTTGGTTGAACTCAGTGTGGCTAAGGTCTTCATGTTCAGTCTAGTTAAGGCTAGATTGAACTCAGTTTTTCTGAGGTCTTTATGCTTAGTTTGGCTGAGGTCTTCAGGATCAGTTTGCCTGAGGCTTGATTGAGCTTAGTCTGGCTGAGGTCTTCATGCTCAGTTTAGTTGAGGCTTGGTTAAACTCAAATGAACATTCATGACATATGCAACACAGATAACAGAGGTTGAAGGACAAAAATTTAACAAGCAGTCTGAGTTGACCAAGGTAGCAGAATAAACGTCATGGGAGAATATGACTCCATTTTATTGAAAATACAACTTCAAATGCTCAGCATTCCACGGTGGAGGGATCTTTGCCTTCTATATCTTGTAAGTAGCAAGTGCCTTGGCATGGCCAAAATTTGACAACGTAAGGCCCCTCCCATTTAGCTGCTAGCTTGCCTTTGGCTGGGTTTTTGGTGCCCAAAGTTGCCGCTCAAAGAACTAGATCGCCCACAACGAATTCTCTGGGTTTGACCCTACTGTTATAATGTTTTCTCATCCTCTGTTGATATGAGGCCAGTCTGACA